TCGAAACTAAGTGCTTAAATAGTTCCATTTTTTATTATTCTTCTTTGTAACGAACGGGCTTTGCAGGAAATATTCCTTAATTATTTTTAAACTTCACTTTATATACTGAGTAGAAGAAAGACAGCTAGTCAACAACACAATAACCGTCTGGCCTCATAAATAAAACCATTTACTTAATAACGATATAGTTTTTAGTATTATTTCTTTATACATATTATGTGGGGGAGGAGGAGCTGCGTGCGTGTGTATAAAGGGAGAGAAAGAGAAAAACAGTTTGTTCGAAATCTACTTAAGCGTATATGTAATTAACGGAATAGTTTCACGTGTAAATAACATAAGCGGCGTTTTAAAACTCAAAATTAAATTATTTATGTACCAAAAAACTGATGAGTTCATATAGGGAGACTCACTACCTAAACATAAGATCATAGACTAGACATATACAAAAGGGCCTATGTTCTCAAGTCGTATTCGTAAGCCACAGAATAACTTTTGATGTATGCGAAGTAGTGTAATAGAGTAGGATCGTAAAACATTCTGCTGCTGCTCTACCGTAAATCAAGCCCGTGTGAAAATTACCAATATAAATCTTCAAATAAAAGCTGTTCTCAAGTCGTATTCGTAAGCCACAAAATAACTTTTGATATGTGCGAAGTAGTGTAATAGAGTAGGATCGTAAAATATTCTGCCGTAAATCAAGCCCGTGTGAAAATTACCAATATAAATCTTCAAATAAAAGCTGTTCAGAAATATATTTTTAAGCCAACACATATGTGGAAATTAATTACGTGATCAGCCAACTCAAAGTCTTGGTTCACGTCTCACCCCATTCAGTCATCCAACTTACCACATGCTTCTAAATAAAGATGTTGTCAGCAAGGGATTTCACTCTGGAACGCTCTCTTGCGGCTGAAATGTTTCTGATCTTAACATCATCTTTTCAGCACCAGTTACACGATACCACGAGCCCACGTGCTTTGTAATGTCCGTTTCAAGTCAGCGTCGAGTCTATTACTTCCGCTGGCACGACGCCTCGGATTTTCTTGGCCCTGCTGTAGCAGCAAACACAATGTAACACAAGCCGTCCCAGTAGACCTGTTACTCTCTTGGTTCAAGGTAGTTAGTTGACTACACACAACAGTTCAGTGCCGACTATTTGTTTGCTTAACAAGAGTGTTTCTACATCTCATATTTCAACAATGTCTCTTTTATAGGAGCTTAAGATGGTTGCCTCCTCCTCGTAAAGAATAAACCATTCATTAAGACATTCGTAGGAAAACAAAACTCTTTCCATTTCTTACATAAGGAATAGTTGATTAATTACATAATATACAAATATTAATAGTTTTGTTTTCAACCTCATGTTCTCCTGCGTGGTTGGGCAGAAATGTCAAAATGTCAATGACAAGGGTAATCCATTCTTGATAGGAGATGTTGAGTAGATGCCATCTTCCATTACACTTTTTTTTTCTCTGAAGTACGAATGTTTGTCCATATTATCCTCCATAACCCTCTTTAACGTGTACGTGTGCTACAAATTATAATGTAAATCATACTGTTTTGCATTACAAAAACGGTCTGACTATAACTTGTTTCCAACTTGACATTCTTATTCGTGATGTTCTTATTTATTTTCTAATAATGCCAAACGGTATAGTGCTTTTGAAAATGGTGTTAGATAACCAGTTTTAACAGTTGTCAAAAGACGTTAAATCGCACAGTGTTTAAAGTATGGCTCAATAACTCAAATATAGTATTTAACAGCGTTCTCTCAAATGTAGTAACTATAATTAATTATAAAATAATCTTTATACATTATATTTTGATGTTCTTACTAATTTAATCAGTAAAGACGCTGTTTCTCTTCAGTATGGATAGTGAAAATCATAGAACAAAACTGTAAACCCTGTATATAATGGAAATCATACATTTGGTTACTGTTAAAATAGGTTAATAAAATGAAACAAGCATCATCACGTGTTTATCTATTCAAGTTAAAGAAAAATCTTAAACCCATCTTCAAAACTGTTTAACAATTTAATTATAACGTTAAGGCTGGTTCTAAAAACTAAAGACCTGAATAAAAGTGAAAATTGATTTCTTTGTATTGTACATTGACGACTTGTTCTTAATCCATCGATTATTGTTAGGGCTAAACAGTTGGATTAAAACCTATAGATCGTCACTGAAGAAAAAACCTGTACACGTGCTACTGTTAGGCAGCAATGTGAGATGATGATCTACTTTTGACAGAACCGTAAATACTTCGAGAACATTACTTAATCCTAAATATACATTATTTTCACAAACTACAAATCCCTATTTTGACCCCATCCTACAGTACTCATCACTTTTAGTGGAGTCAAAATAAGGATTTGTAGCTTGAGAAAACAATGTAGACACTATTTCCAGCCTAGTTCTTTACTTTTTTGGAGTCTCTAGTTGTAGTCTTGAAAATATAATCTTTGCATTTGGATTCAACTTATTTCTGTACTTTTTTGACGATCCCTATTCCCTTTTTTTTCAATTAACAAATTTAATTATCTTGTTTCTTAAGTTTTTATGTCCATTTATGGAGAATATATTTTAAGATACATACATGCATATGCATTCAGTTGAATGTTATATATTTTTCAACAGTTTACTGCTGCATTGACTATTTTTCCACCTAACCATTACTCACTGAGCCAGGTGGTTTTGTGCCTTAGGTTTTGTGTAAACACGTGTTTAACAAGCGAAGTACGAAAATCAGTAGTATAACTCACCACAAGAATAGAGAAATCAACTATGATAATTGTCTACTGTTAGAAAACTCAATAATATTGTCACAGAAAACCACATAGAGACAAGGTACAACAGCGACCTTGAGAAACAATGAAAAACAGCGAACTCGAGAAATGATGAATCCTCAACGTGATAGTTTCCAATTAATGCTCTATAAGTTGCACAAATTATTTTCCACTTAAAACACTGGATTATTTTCAATGGCGGAATGTGAAGGACTTAGAGAAATTCTTCAGGACGAAAAAAAACGAAGGTGCTTGAATTATTTTAAAACTACCCTATGACATACTTAATACTGTATTCATTTCTATTGTCCAGGTTTTAGTAAAATCTTAGCAGCCCTTTTTTGCGGCTTGTAAAATTATAATTAATAAGAATAAGGCTGGAGACAATATTATAAATATACACATTGCCTACTCTAATAAAATGAAACCTTTCCGACTAATATAACTGTGCTTAAATGGGTTCTATATTTCTGCGATGCTTGAATGGCTTTGAAGAGCTTATGTTGGTAGCGAAAAATAACTCAAAAAATTTTAGAGAGTGGAAATCTCGACTTTCAAAAATAAACTTAAAAATAGTCCTACAACCTTCGCATGAGTTTGTTTAGTAGCTGTGCATAGATTTTGGCGCAGTATACCTAGCCGTTTTTTGCTGTAGGCTTTGGTGCTTGAATGGTTTTGAAGAGAAACTTGGCCAGTAGTGATGAAAAACGGATAGAATCTCTCCTTCTCGTTCAAGAATCAACATAAAATAGTTCTATGACCTGTGCAAGTAGTTGTTTTTTTTTAAGTAGGTTTGTCCCAGAGTTTGAATAAAATATTCATAACTGTCTTTTCTAGTAGGCTTGTGAATA